AGCAATTTAGTTGTTTAATAGCAGCTTTTCTTTTTTTTTACTAAAAAGCCCAAAACATCACAGGCAACTCAGAACTGGGAATGCTGTGATATATACTCCCATCTTGAAGGAAACAGTATATCGATGCTTCCTTCTGAGATTCTGATGGTTATTGATGTTACTTATCATATCCAGATGATGCTGATGCTCATAGTCCAAATCACTATCCTTTTCTTTGGAGCCCTTTTTTGGAGGGTTGTGTATGTCAAACCAGGTGTGGCTGCTAATGATAATCAGATGGCACTGTGTGTTAGGGACTGAGAGAATGAATCAAACCTTGAAAGGGCTGAAGATGCTATTGAACTTATTGGACTGCCTAGTCTGCTTTGATGGTTTTCAGAATATGTCACATAATAGCTGTGTTACTGGTGTTCGGGGTTACAGTTGGTAAGAGTTAAATCTTGCCTAGTGTGATTAACTGATTTTTTTTAAGACAAAGAGAGGATGAAGCAGATTATATACATATACATACATACATACATCTGTTATTGCTGTTAATCTCTCATCATCTTTATCATTTTTATAACCTCTCCAGTCTTAACATTTGACTGCAAGTGATGGTTTTGCTAAGGAAATTTCAATCCAGTCACATTTTTATCAGCTGTGCACACAGAAAGCCCTACGTATACATATACATCGATATGCAGTTAATCATCCATAAAAGCATTAACTCTGACTTCTAGGTGAGTGGATGACAGTATTCTCTATTCTGTTAACAAATCATGCACTTGAATGAAATATCATACAATGATTCGACATACCTTCCTTGTTCAGGCCATTTGTAGCATGAAAGGATTATGCCCACTGCAAGTAGTTTTGGCACACCATCCCTTTAGCCAAAAAGATGCTATCAGCCATGCTTTCATCTCCCTCCCCCCAACAGCCTGCTGCTTGAGACTGCTTTTCAAGGCATCCACTGTGTCCATCTGTATGCTTCCTGCTCCGCTACCTTCCCTGATCACCAGCGTACTTCTCTTGATTTTTCTGCGGTCATCTCTCAAGAGACGGAAGCGGCACTTCTAGTTTCCATTCTCACAGACATTGACTGCTGCTGACAATAGATGCATTGAAGCTTTTACAGTTGGTGGTTCCCTTCTTGGACAATGCAGTGCTGTGTTCTCTCTTCAGTATCCATATTTCTAGTGGCGATGAGAGGCAAAGCAGCAAGAGCTAGAATCAGGAGCTATTCTCTGGCATTTGATAATAAGATTTAGCCCACTTTCTTCATTGTTGCTAGGCAGTAACCAAAAAGGATGAGTTGAAAGATGTGAGGAAGAAAAGGGATTTAGCTGAAGGTTTTGTTCTGAAAAATCCAATCCGTAGTTCCTCAGCTGCTGCACGGGCAGGCAGCAGTTTAAATGTGGGCTTTTGACAGATGCTGTCTTCTGACAGAGCAGAATTTCACGTCATTGCTTGGCTGTGTCCCACGTGACACTTTGCATTCATTCGGACTAAATCTGAAAGCAGCCAGAGAGCTTACTGCTTTTGCTTCTCTTCAGCAGACGATACACATCCAGCATAGCATTGAATGAATAAAATGAGGGATGATGGGGATTGACTAGATGAGTGTGTTTTTCCCAATTGCCTGCCTTTATCTTTAGTGCTATACATTAGCACTTCCTAAATGTTTCTTAATGTCAGATATTAGTTTAACTTAATCCAGACAGATTTCTGCTTTATATAAGTACAAGCTCTCTAGTATATTGACCTTTAGCATTTTTCAGAAGCTATTATGAGATTTTTATAAGTTGTCCTGAGGTAAAATTATCTACTTTTACTAGACACATGGATTATTTTGAAAATGTTAGTCAAAACAGCTTCTGCCAGTTTGAACTCTACCATATTTTAAATATAAAACAGAATTACATAATCAGGGTAATAATTTTATATTCATTTCTTAAAAAAAAAAAATCAGGCCATAGGTTTATTTGGTGACACATTCTATTTCCACAGCGGTTAACAAGCACCTTCTAGAATCCCATAAGCCAGGCTTGAATACAAAAGCACCATTGCTTTTATGCACATATGAGAGGGGGTCAAATGATGTCATATGCATCATGATGTCATTGCAACAATGATGCATTTGTGCAGTAACATCATTGTGGCTTCCACTGGATTCCTTCATCTCAACTGAGATTAAAAGGCACATTGACTTTGATAGGGAGATTATATATAACCACCTTTACGTGCAGTCCTTGATAGCTTTGTTTTCCATGAATTTAATTATATTTCCTCTTTATTAGGACTATTATATACTTGATAATAAATTGAATAATTTAACTCTTTACTGTGTAAATAAAGGTTTTTTTTTAATTATTATTCTTTCCAAAATCTCCCTCTATTGAGCTTCATAGGATGAGCCATGGTTCTTATGCTGTTGGAAGGAGAAAAGTTTTTTTCCCAGCTCTTTTATTTAAGATTGGCATCATGTTAAACATCTCTAATATTTAAGATGTTAGAGGTTAAATGTTCCTAACAATGAGATCCTCATTCATTTTTTTTTCCTGAGGTAAAATCTCTAGTGTAATTGTCTGTTTGTGACTTCTTTAGGAGTCTTTTGTAAAGGAATTTGTTGAAAACCTTTTGAAAGTCCAAATAAACAGTGTTTACCAGAGCATTGTTCTACACATTTATTGACATTCCCCAAAGCTTTACAAGATTACGAATTCAGGACTTTTTCAGAAGCCACTTTGATTCATTTTTTTTAAAACAGTATTCTGTATGTCTGGTACTTTTTAAAATTTAATAATGTTTTCCATCAGTGTACCCAGGAGAGATATTTAAGTAACAGATTTATAATTTCTTTGATAGCCTTCTCTACTCCTGATCACTTTTTTTAAAAAATTGACTTTGTGTTGACTACTTTCTGCTATTACAGAAGCTGGCATTAGAAAAACATTGATATGTTTTCTTCTCCTTCTCCGTTATGTATTGTGTCTGTCACGCATTATGAGTGCCAGTATAGTGATTAAGGGGCTGGACTAAGAATGAGGAGACCTAGGTGGTAATCAGCCACAGAAACTCACTCGGTGATTTTGGGCCAGTCATTCCCAGCCCAGTCTACCTTGCAGATTTTTGTAGGGAAAATTAGGAGGAAGAAATTTTTGTATCACCTTGAATTCCTGGATGAAATGTGGGATATAAATGTAATAAATAATTGATAAAATGAGAGTAATATAAATTCTTCTGTGGGGTGTGCAAACTTAAGAATTTACACTCTCTGTAATTGAGCCAATGAAATAGTTTAAAGTGAACTCCTTGACTATGTTAATTGATTCTGGCTAATCAGTCTCTCACGTCATCATGTCAGGCCCAGACTGCGGAGAATAGCTTTAGAACTCATTGCTATGACATGAAAGCTGAAACTAAATGCTAAAAGGATATATTTAAGGGTCTTTATGAAAATGTATTTCCATGTATCTATGGGCATCCAGATTTTGTGAAATTTTCAGGAGTCAAAAGTATAGTATTGTCATGTCAAAGTATGTACATTGGATTTCATCAAGGCCAGATCACAAGATGAAGTGAGATAATTCAGAATAGATGTTCATTTACCCGAAGTGGAACAAAACCTTCTGAACCCACTGTGTTCTAATTCTTCACAAGGTCCATTCCTGATTCATTTCTCCAGGGTTCACCATGTTGAGAAAATCAATATGGAATTATGAGGGGAGTGGAGGATATAGAAGAGTATCAGCAGCAGAAGCTTTATTTATTACATTCTTACAACTAAGTTCAGTATAGACATAAAATACAATACCATTCATCCACATCCTTTTTTCTAGTCTTTCATCTCAAGCAGTGGTATCACAGTGTTGTATGTAGTATTAAGTAATTATGGAATTTTGTGTGTGTGTGTGTGTATTTTACAAATACAAGGATAAAAGACTAATATAAACTAAGAGAAATATAAAAAGTGAAGTGAAGAAAAAGTGCAGAGAGAGAAAAGAAAAGAAAAAGAAAAAAAATAAGAAAAGGAGAAACATAGAAAAATGACTCCCCCTCCCTCCACATGAGTATAAACAACTTCAGTAACTTAACACCTTCTCTAATATTTCAATAATAAAAAAAGATCTCTTCTTCCCATATTTCATCTCTTATCAATAACCAAATTGAAAAGCTCATCATTCAGTCCTATTCTGCAAAAGTCCATTAAGAGCTACCAGGAATAATAACATATATATTTTAATCTTAATCAAATAAATCCATTTTGTATTCCAACTTATCACTTTCTCTGAGGAATTAATCAAAAAAAAAATCTCCCCATTTTTAAGCAAATCTTCAAAGCTGCATCATTCAGTCCTGATCAAGAATAAATTCCATTAATATCTACCAAAAACCACAACATATATATTTTAACCCTGATCAAATAAATTCACTTTATAATCCTTCCGTTTACTTTTAAAAAGCTTGGTCTTTTATCCAGTCAAGTGATATCCCACAAGTTGATTTCTTAACCTTTTTTTTTTTTTTTGTCTCCTGTCAGGAACAGCTTCAGTAGTTTAACGCGTCCCTTTTGTAAATCCAAGATAAAGAGGCTATCCAAGTCACTCTTCTGATTTATTATTTATATATCTCATTTACTTACTAAAATACCAGCCAGTTTCATTTGTAAATCCATTCTAGCATCTTTTTCCATGTCACTCTTCTAATCCGTCATTTTTAAATCCGTTTTCAAATCTACATCATATTTTGCAGTCCATATCACTAATGTAGTCTGGCATTTTTTTAAAATCCATTTTCAAATCCACATTCAGGTCAGCCTCAATCTCTATTTTGTCCAGTAAAATCTGTTCCTCTTCTGTAACCTCTGCTAGATCCATTTTATAGTGGCAGACAATCTTGAAAATAATTTGTGAGTTCATTGTTCCCGGACAGCCTTAATTTCTTAGTTTTCTCTGGTTCCCTCTAGTCAACCTTCAAATTCCCCTTATCATATGTTTATTTTCCAATCAGTAAAACTTTCCCACAGGAGGATTTCTTATAGTTAATTTCAAAATCTTCATATATGCTTTTATAAAATTTTAAACAACCCATAGGAAATATTCTTTCAAGTCCGTATGGCCACCTTAACTTTCCAAAATCAATATTCTAGTCCCTCTTTTGCTGTTGTCCAAAGATTAAAACTTTTCTTTTTAATCCTTAAACTCACATGAAACTTCTTTCATCCAGGATAGAAGGAAGCTCTCCTGGCATAATCAAACTTGCCCTTCAGAAGGTTCTTAGCATCCAAAAGATCAGTAACAAGCCCTTTCCTAAGATAGCTAAGAAAGGAAGTGGGCAAACCCAGTGTCCATTTAAAGGTGCCAAGCTGCGGGTTAGGCAGGATGATTTTCCCCTGGCTCCCAGAGCTCTCAAACCTGGTGGAAATTGCTATTGTATAGTCTCTTCATGGGTGAGCCTCTGTATGGAGCAAACTTGTGGGTAATCCTAGTCCTCTCCTTGATCCGGAGAGGGGTTCTGAGGGGCCGATCCATTCACTGGCCCCTCTTTCTGCCATGGCCCTCATCTCCACTCTCACAGAGCTGTCTTCAGTCCACCATTGCTTCCCCGGAAGCTCCCATTTCAGGATTTTCTAAGGAAAAGTCAAACACACTTAGTTTCTGATGTTGGCAAAGACAGGAATAAACAGTAAAGCCATATTAATAATGACAAACTTGTATTGTTAAGGTTAGTAATGAAACGTATATGGTAGTAATCCAATATAATGCAGAATTGTGGAGAAAAGGGTTGCTATTTATAGCCAAGTACTACAAATGTAAATTTAGTATCTAGCATTTATAATGACTTACAGTGTCTTACTTCATATAGGTCTAGCTATTTCACTCACAAGCTTTTTATTCAGAGAAAACCCCCTTCTGAACATATCAATAAATAAAAGGTTAACTTATCTTTTACAAAAATGGTAATGAAGCTATTGTGCTTTTAATTTCAGGTTTTCGTCATATCAGGGACATTTAGATAAAAATGCTGCATGTGTAGAATGTTTCATTTCCTTTCTCTTCAATTTAAATTCTAGGTACCCTAGTACCCTATTAATGGAGAAGAATATTGAGAACTGTGAAGTGTCAAAGATTGGAGAAAAAGTTTTTCATGCTTTTAATAATCTTTGAGATCAATTGTTATCCCAAAAGTATAGCAGGGTTAAATTTGTAATATACTTCTTCCTTGTGAAAGGGGCTGTCTTTTTTTTTTTTTTTTTAAA